AGAGCGGTCCGTCCGGGCGGGAAGGGGGCCCAGAGGGGGCCCCCGGGGAGGGAAGGGGGCCCAGAGCGGTCCATCCAGGAGGGAAGGGGGCCCAGAGGGGGCCCCCGGGGAGGGAAGGGGGCCCAGACGGGGCCGTAGAGGAGGGAAGGGGGCCCAGAGCGGTCCGTCCGGGCGGGAAGGGGGCCCAGAGGGGGCCCCCGGGGAGGGAAGGGGGCCCAGAGCGGTCCATCCAGGAGGGAAGGGGGCCCAGAGGGGGCCCCCGGGGAGGGAAGGGGGCCCAGACGGGGCCGTAGAGGAGGGAAGGGGGCCCAGAGCGGTCCGTCCGGGCGGGAAGGGGGCCCAGAGGGGGCCCCCGGGGAGGGAAGGGGGCCCAGACGGGGCCGTAGAGGAGGGAAGGGGGCCCAGAGCGGTCCGTCCGGGCGGGAAGGGGGCCCAGAGGGGGCCCCCGGGGAGGGAAGGGGGCCCAGAGCGGTCCATCCAGGAGGGAAGGGGGCCCAGAGGGGGCCCCCGGGGAGGGAAGGGGGCCCAGACGGGGCCGTAGAGGAGGGAAGGGGGCCCAGAGCGGTCCGTCCGGGCGGGAAGGGGGCCCAGACGGGGCCGTAGAGGAGGGAAGGGGGCCCAGAGCGGTCCGTCCGGGCGGGAAGGGGGCCCAGAGGGGGCCCCCGGGGAGGGAAGGGGGCCCAGACGGGGCCGTAGAGGAGGGAAGGGGGCCCAGAGCGGTCCGTCCGGGCGGGAAGGGGGCCCAGAGGGGGCCCCCGGGGAGGGAAGGGGGCCCAGACGGGGCCGTAGAGGAGGGAAGGGGGCCCAGAGCGGTCCGTCCGGGCGGGAAGGGGGCCCAGAGGGGGCCCCCGGGGAGGGAAGGGGGCCCAGAGCGGTCCATCCAGGAGGGAAGGGGGCCCAGAGGGGGCCCCCGGGGAGGGAAGGGGGCCCAGACGGGGCCGTAGAGGAGGGAAGGGGGCCCAGAGCGGTCCGTCCGGGCGGGAAGGGGGCCCAGACGGGGCCGTAGAGGAGGGAAGGGGGCCCAGAGCGGTCCGTCCGGGCGGGAAGGGGGCCCAGAGGGGGCCCCCGGGGAGGGAAGGGGGCCCAGACGGGGCCGTAGAGGAGGGAAGGGGGCCCAGAGCGGTCCGTTCGGGCGGGAAGGGGGCCCAGAGGGGGCCCCCGGGGAGGGAAGGGGGCCCAGAGCGGTCCATCCAGGAGGGAAGGGGGCCCAGAGGGGGCCCCTGGGGAGGGAAGGGGGCCCAGACGGGGCCGTAGAGGAGGGAAGGGGGCCCAGAGCGGTCCGTCCGGGCGGGAAGGGGGCCCAGAGGGGGCCCCCGGGGAGGGAAGGGGGCCCAGACGGGGCCGTAGAGGAGGGAAGGGGGCCCAGAGCGGTCCGTCCGGGCGGGAAGGGGGCCCAGAGGGGGCCCCCGGGGAGGGAAGGGGGCCCAGAGCGGTCCATCCAGGAGGGAAGGGGGCCCAGAGGGGGCCCCCGGGGAGGGAAGGGGGCCCAGACGGGGCCGTAGAGGAGGGAAGGGGGCCCAGAGCGGTCCGTCCGGGCGGGAAGGGGGCCCAGAGGGGGCCCCCGGGGAGGGAAGGGGGCCCAGAGCGGTCCGTCCGGGCGGGAAGGGGGCCCAGAGGGGGCCCCCGGGGAGGGAAGGGGGCCCAGAGCGGTCCATCCAGGAGGGAAGGGGGCCCAGAGGGGGCCCCCGGGGAGGGAAGGGGGCCCAGACGGGGCCGTAGAGGAGGGAAGGGGGCCCAGAGCGGTCCGTCCGGGCGGGAAGGGGGCCCAGAGGGGGCCCCCGGGGAGGGAAGGGGGCCCAGAGCGGTCCATCCAGGAGGGAAGGGGGCCCAGAGGGGGCCCCCGGGGAGGGAAGGGGGCCCAGACGGGGCCGTAGAGGAGGGAAGGGGGCCCAGAGCGGTCCGTCCGGGCGGGAAGGGGGCCCAGAGGGGGGCCCCGGGGAGGGAAGGGGGCCCAGAGCGGTCCATCCAGGAGGGAAGGGGGCCCAGAGGGGGCCCCCGGGGAGGGAAGGGGGCCCAGACGGGGCCGTAGAGGAGGGAAGGGGGCCCAGAGCGGTCCGTCCGGGCGGGAAGGGGGCCCAGAGGGGGCCCCCGGGGAGGGAAGGGGGCCCAGACGGGGCCGTAGAGGAGGGAAGGGGGCCCAGAGCGGTCCGTCCGGGCGGGAAGGGGGCCCAGAGGGGGCCCCCGGGGAGGGAAGGGGGCCCAGAGCGGTCCATCCAGGAGGGAAGGGGGCCCAGAGGGGGCCCCCGGGGAGGGAAGGGGGCCCAGACGGGGCCGTAGAGGAGGGAAGGGGGCCCAGAGCGGTCCGTCCGGGCGGGAAGGGGGCCCAGAGGGGGCCCCCGGGGAGGGAAGGGGGCCCAGAGCGGTCCGTCCGGGCGGGAAGGGGGCCCAGAGGGGGCCCCCGGGGAGGGAAGGGGGCCCAGAGCGGTCCATCCAGGAGGGAAGGGGGCCCAGAGGGGGCCCCCGGGGAGGGAAGGGGGCCCAGACGGGGCCGTAGAGGAGGGAAGGGGGCCCAGAGCGGTCCGTCCGGGCGGGAAGGGGGCCCAGAGGGGGCCCCCGGGGAGGGAAGGGGGCCCAGAGCGGTCCATCCAGGAGGGAAGGGGGCCCAGAGGGGGCCCCCGGGGAGGGAAGGGGGCCCAGACGGGGCCGTAGAGGAGGGAAGGGGGCCCAGAGCGGTCCGTCCGGGCGGGAAGGGGGCCCAGAGGGGGCCCCCGGGGAGGGAAGGGGGCCCAGACGGGGCCGTAGAGGAGGGAAGGGGGCCCAGAGCGGTCCGTCCGGGCGGGAAGGGGGCCCAGAGGGGGCCCCCGGGGAGGGAAGGGGGCCCAGACGGGGCCGTAGAGGAGGGAAGGGGGCCCAGAGCGGTCCGTCCGGGCGGGAAGGGGGCCCAGAGGGGGCCCCCGGGGAGGGAAGGGGGCCCAGAGCGGTCCATCCAGGAGGGAAGGGGGCCCAGAGGGGGCCCCCGGGGAGGGAAGGGGGCCCAGACGGGGCCGTAGAGGAGGGAAGGGGGCCCAGAGCGGTCCGTCCGGGCGGGAAGGGGGCCCAGAGGGGGCCCCCGGGGAGGGAAGGGGGCCCAGAGCGGTCCATCCAGGAGGGAAGGGGGCCCAGAGGGGGCCCCCGGGGAGGGAAGGGGGCCCAGACGGGGCCGTAGAGGAGGGAAGGGGGCCCAGAGCGGTCCGTCCGGGCGGGAAGGGGGCCCAGAGGGGGCCCCCGGGGAGGGAAGGGGGCCCAGACGGGGCCGTAGAGGAGGGAAGGGGGCCCAGAGCGGTCCGTCCGGGCGGGAAGGGGGCCCAGAGGGGGCCCCCGGGGAGGGAAGGGGGCCCAGACGGGGCCGTAGAGGAGGGAAGGGGGCCCAGAGCGGTCCGTCCGGGCGGGAAGGGGGCCCAGAGGGGGCCCCCGGGGAGGGAAGGGGGCCCAGAGCGGTCCATCCAGGAGGGAAGGGGGCCCAGAGGGGGCCCCCGGGGAGGGAAGGGGGCCCAGACGGGGCCGTAGAGGAGGGAAGGGGGCCCAGAGCGGTCCGTCCGGGCGGGAAGGGGGCCCAGAGGGGGCCCCCGGGGAGGGAAGGGGGCCCAGAGCGGTCCATCCAGGAGGGAAGGGGGCCCAGAGGGGGCCCCCGGGGAGGGAAGGGGGCCCAGACGGGGCCGTAGAGGAGGGAAGGGGGCCCAGAGCGGTCCGTCCGGGCGGGAAGGGGGCCCAGAGGGGGCCCCCGGGGAGGGAAGGGGGCCCAGACGGGGCCGTAGAGGAGGGAAGGGGGCCCAGAGCGGTCCGTCCGGGCGGGAAGGGGGCCCAGAGGGGGCCCCCGGGGAGGGAAGGGGGCCCAGAGCGGTCCATCCAGGAGGGAAGGGGGCCCAGAGGGGGCCCCCGGGGAGGGAAGGGGGCCCAGACGGGGCCGTAGAGGAGGGAAGGGGGCCCAGAGCGGTCCGTCCGGGCGGGAAGGGGGCCCAGAGGGGGCCCCCGGGGAGGGAAGGGGGCCCAGAGCGGTCCATCCAGGAGGGAAGGGGGCCCAGAGGGGGCCCCCGGGGAGGGAAGGGGGCCCAGACGGGGCCGTAGAGGAGGGAAGGGGGCCCAGAGCGGTCCGTCCGGGCGGGAAGGGGGCCCAGAGGGGGCCCCCGGGGAGGGAAGGGGGCCCAGACGGGGCCGTAGAGGAGGGAAGGGGGCCCAGAGCGGTCCGTCCGGGCGGGAAGGGGGCCCAGAGGGGGCCCCCGGGGAGGGAAGGGGGCCCAGACGGGGCCGTAGAGGAGGGAAGGGGGCCCAGAGCGGTCCGTCCGGGCGGGAAGGGGGCCCAGAGGGGGCCCCCGGGGAGGGAAGGGGGCCCAGAGCGGTCCATCCAGGAGGGAAGGGGGCCCAGAGGGGGCCCCCGGGGAGGGAAGGGGGCCCAGACGGGGCCGTAGAGGAGGGAAGGGGGCCCAGAGCGGTCCGTCCGGGCGGGAAGGGGGCCCAGAGGGGGCCCCCGGGGAGGGAAGGGGGCCCAGACGGGGCCGTAGAGGAGGGAAGGGGGCCCAGAGCGGTCCGTCCGGGCGGGAAGGGGGCCCAGAGGGGGCCCCCGGGGAGGGAAGGGGGCCCAGACGGGGCCGTAGAGGAGGGAAGGGGGCCCAGAGCGGTCCGTCCGGGCGGGAAGGGGGCCCAGACGGGGCCGTAGAGGAGGGAAGGGGGCCCAGAGCGGTCCATCCAGGAGGGAAGGGGGCCCAGAGGGGGCCCCCGGGGAGGGAAGGGGGCCCAGACGGGGCCGTAGAGGAGGGAAGGGGGCCCAGAGCGGTCCGTTCGGGAGGGAAGGGGCCCAGAGCGGTCCATCTGGGAGGGAAGGCCACCAGGAGACCCCCAAGAGCGGGCTCTGTGATGGGCACTAAGGGGCCTGCGACCTGCCATGGGCTCTGGGGGGGGGGTCCCACATGGCGGGGCAGGGGGGCAGGAGGGCACTGCCACCTGTCTCAGATGCCCATATAGCAGTCAGGGCCTCCTCACGTGCTCTTCGGTGCTGTCGCCCATGGAGTGCCGGGCGGCCTTAGCGATTTGGGGCCGTCGCGTGTTCCTGGAGTAACGTGCGCTGCGCCGTCGCACCTCGGGGCCGTCGCGCGCCGTTCGTGTCACGTGCCCTGCGCCGTCGCACCTCGGGGCCGTCGCGCGCCGTTCGTGTCACGTGCCCTGCGCCGTCGCACCTCGGGGCCGTCGCGCGCCGTTCGTGTCACGTGCCCTGCGCCGTCGCACCTCGGGGCCGTCGCGCGCCGTTGGTGTCACGTGCCCTGCGCCGTCGCACCTCGGGGCCGTCGCGCGCCGTTGGTGTCACGTGCCCTGCGCCGTCGCACCTCGGGGCCGTCGCGCGCCGTTCGTGTCACGTGCCCTGCGCCGTCGCACCTCGGGGCCGTCGCGCGCCGTTCGTGTCACGTGCCCTGCGCCGTCGCACCTCGGGGCCGTCGCGCGCCGTTGTGTCACGTGCCCTGCGCCGTCGCACCTCGGGGCCGTCGCGCGCCGTTGGTGTCACGTGCCCTGCGCCGTCGCACCTCGGGGCCGTCGCGCGCCGTTGTGTCACGTGCCCTGCGCCGTCGCACCTCGGGGCCGTCGCGCGCCGTTCGTGTCACGTGCCCTGCGCCGTCGCACCTCGGGGCCGTCGCGCGCCGTTCGTGTCACGTGCCCTGCCTGCGCCGTCGCACTTCGGGGCCGTCGCGCGCCGTTGGTGTCACGTGCGCTGCGCCGTCGCACTTTGGGGCCGTCGCGCGCTGCTGGTGTCGCACTTTGATGCCCTCACACATTGTGCAGCCTCGCGCGGGCACAGGGCCCGCCGGCTCGCTCCGCAGGACCCTCCGACCTCATGGCCGCCCCGCTGCCTGACCCACGCCCGGTGCTTGGGGCGTCACCGTCCGTGGCCCCCAGCCTGCTCCTGCTCCTGCTCCTCCTGCCCCCCGCCCAGGCTGCAGCCGTGGCCCACGGACGCCCCCTGAGCGAGGCCCGCGCCTCGATCCCCCACGTGGGTAGGACCCCTTGGGGCCCAAGTTAACTGGAGTCCTGGTGGCGATTCCGGGGCTTCTTCCTCCCCGGGGTGGAGACCGGGCTCCCCTGCCCTTCCCCTCCCCAGCTGTCCCTCCCTTCCCCTCCCCTGCCCTGCCCCTCCCAGCTTTCCCCTCCCCTTCCGTACCTCTCCCCTCCCAAGCTCTCCCTTCCTCTCCCCTCTCCTGTCCTGTCTGATCCTCCCCTTCTGTATCTCTCCCCTCCCAAGCTCTCCCTTCCTCTCCCCTCTCCTTTCCTTTCTGACCCTCCCCTCTGTACTTCTCCCCTCCCAAGCTCTCCCTTCCTCTCCTCCCTCCTGTCCTTTCTGACCCTCCCCTTCCGTACCTCTCCCCTCCCAAGCTCTCCCTTCCTCTCCCCTCTCCTTTCCTTTCTGACCCTCCCCTCTGTACTTCTCCCCTCCCAAGCTCTCCCTTCCTCTCCTCCCTCCTGTCCTTTCTGACCCTCCCCTTCCGTACCTCTCCCCTCCCAAGCTCTCCCTTCCTCTCCTCCCTCCTGTCCTTTCTGACCCTCCCTTCCGTACCTCTCCCCTCCCAAGCTCTCCCTTCCTCTCCTCCCTCCTGTCCTTTCTGACCCTCCCCTTCCGTACCTCTCCCCTCCGAAGCTCTCCCTTCCTCTCCTCCCTCCTGTCCTTTCTGACCCTCCCCTTCCGTACCTCTCCCCTCCCAAGCTCTACCTTCCTCTCCTCCCTCCTGTCCTTTCTGACCCTCCCCTTCCGTACCTCTCCCCTCCCAAGCTCTCCCTTCCTCTCCTCCCTCCTGTCCTTTCTGACCCTCCCTTCCGTACCTCTCCCCTCCCAAGCTCTCCCTTCCTCTCCTCCCTCCTGTCCTTTCTGACCCTCCCCTTCCGTACCTCTCCCCTCCCAAGCTCTCCCTTCCTCTCCTCCCTCCTGTCCATTCTGACCCTCCCCTTCTGTACCTCTCCCCTCCCAAGCTCTACCTTCCTCTCCCCTCTCCTGTCCTTTCTGACCCTCCCCTTCCGTACCTCTCCCCTCCCAAGCTCTCCCTTCCTCTCCTCCCTCCTGTCCTTTCTGACCCTCCCCTTCCATACCTCTCCCCTCCCAAGCTCTCCCTTCCTCTCCTCCCTCCTGTCCTTTCTGACCCTCCCCTTCCGTACCTCTCCCCTCCCAAGCTCTACCTTCCTCTCCTCCCTCCTGTCCTTTCTGACCCTCCCCTTCCGTACCTCTCCCCTCCCAAGCTCTCCCTTCCTCTCCTCCCTCCTGTCCTTTCTGACCCTCCCTTCCGTACCTCTCCCCTCCCAAGCTCTCCCTTCCTCTCCTCCCTCCTGTCCTTTCTGACCCTCCCCTTCCGTACCTCTCCCCTCCCAAGCTCTCCCTTCCTCTCCTCCCTCCTGTCCATTCTGACCCTCCCCTTCTGTACCTCTCCCCTCCCAAGCTCTACCTTCCTCTCCCCTCTCCTGTCCTTTCTGACCCTCCCCTTCCGTACCTCTCCCCTCCCAAGCTCTCCCTTCCTCTCCTCCCTCCTGTCCATTCTGACCCTCCCCTTCCGTACCTCTCCCCTCCCAAGCTCTACCTTCCTCTCCTCCCTCCTGTCCTTTCTGACCCTCCCCTTCCGTACCTCTCCCCTCCCAAGCTCTCCCTTCCTCTCCTCCCTCCTGTCCATTCTGACCCTCCCCTTCTGTACCTCTCCCCTCCCAAGCTCTACCTTCCTCTCCCCTCTCCTGTCCTTTCTGACCCTCCCCTTCTGTACCTCTCCCCTCCCAAGCTCTCCCTTCCTCTCCTCCCTCCTGTCCTTTCTGACCCTCCCCTTCCGTACCTCTCCCCTCCCAAGCTCTACCTTCCTCTCCTCCCTCCTGTCCTTTCTGACCCTCCCCTTCCGTACCTCTCCCCTCCCAAGCTCTACCTTCCTCTCCCCTCTCCTGTCCTTTCTGACCCTCCCCTTCCGTACCTCTCCCCTCCCAAGCTCTCCCTTCCTCTCCTCCCTCCTGTCCTTTCTGACCCTCCCCTTCTGTACCTCTCCCCTCCGAAGCTCTCCCTTCCTCTCCTCCCTCCTGTCCTTTCTGACCCTCCCCTCCGTACCTCTCCCCTCCCAAGCTCTCCCTTCCTCTCCCCTCTCCTGCCGTTTCTGACCCTCCCCTTCCGTACCTCTCCCCTCCCAAGCTCTCCCTTCCTCTCCGCCCTCCTGTCCTTTCTGACCCTCCCCTTCTGTACCTCTCCCCTCCGAAGCTCTCCCTTCCTCTCCTCCCTCCTGTCCTTTCTGACCCTCCCCTCCGTACCTCTCCCCTCCCAAGCTCTCCCTTCCTCTCCCCTCTCCTGCCGTTTCTGACCCTCCCCTCTGTCCCTCTCCCCTCCCATGCTCTCCCTTCCTCTCCCCTCTCCTGCCCTTTCTGACCCTCCCCTCTGTACCTCTCCCCTCCCATGCTCTCCCTTCCTCTCCCCTCTCCTGTCCTTTCTGACCCTCCCCTTCCTTACCTCGCCTCCCAAGCTCTCCCTTCCTCTCCTCCCTCCTGTCCTGTCTTATCCTCCCCTTCTGTATCTCTCCCCTCCCATGCTCTCCCTTCCTCTCCCCTCTCCTTTCCTTTCTGACCCTCCCCTTCCATACCTCTCCCCTCCCAAGCTCTCCCTTCCTCTCCCCTCTCCTGTCCTTTCTGACCCTCCCCTTCCTTACCTCGCCTCCCAAGCTCTCCCTTCCTCTCCCCTGTCCTTTCCTTTTTGACCCTCCCCTTCCTTACCTCGCCTCCCAAGCTCTCCCTTCCTCTCCCCTCTCCTGTCCTTTCTGACCCTCCCCTCTGTACCTCTCCCCTCCCAAGCTCTCCCTTCCTCTCCCCTCTCCTGTCCTGTCTGATCCTCCCCTTCTGTATCTCTCCCCTCCCAAGCTCTCCTTTCCTCTCCTCCCTCCTGTCCTTTCTGACCCTCCCCTTCCGTACCTCTCCCCTCCCAAGCTCTACCTTCCTCTCCTCCCTCCTGTCCTTTCTGACCCTCCCCTTCCATACCTCTCCCCTCCCAAGCTCTCCCTTCCTCTCCCCTCTCCTGTCCTTTCTGACCCTCCCCTTCCATACCTTCCCCTCCCAAGCTCTCCCTTCCTCTCCCCTCTCCTGTCCTGTCTGATCCTCCCCTTCTGTACCTCTCCCCTCCCAAGCTCTCCCTTCCTCTCCTCCCTCCTGTCCTTTCTGACGCTCCCCTTCCATACCTCTCCCCTCCCAAGCTCTACCTTCCTCTCCTCCCTCCTGTCCTTTCTGACCCTCCCCTTCCATACCTCTCCCCTCCCAAGCTCTCCCTTCCTCTCCTCCCTCCTGTCCTTTCTGACCCTCCCCTTCCATACCTCTCCCCTCCCAAGCTCTCCCTTCCTCTCCTCCCTCCTGTCCTGTCTTATCCTCCCCTTCTGTATCTCTCCCCTCCCATGCTCTCCCTTCCTCTCCCCTCTCCTTTCCTTTCTGACCCTCCCCTTCCATACCTCTCCCCTCCCAAGCTCTCCCTTCCTCTCCCCTCTCCTGTCCTTTCTGACCCTCCCCTTCCTTACCTCGCCTCCCATGCTCTCCCTTCTTCTCCCCTGTCCTTTCCTTTCTGACCCTCCCCTTCCTTACCTCGCCTCCCAAGCTCTCCCTTCCTCTCCTCCCTCCTGTCCTGTCTGACCCTCCCTTCTGTACCTCTGCCCTCCCAAGCTCTCCCTTCCTCTCCCCTCTCCTGTCCTTTCTGACGCTCCCCTTCCGTACCTCTCCCCTCCCAAGCTCTCCCTTCCTCTCCCCTCTCCTGTCCTTTCTGACCCTCCCCTTCCTACCTCGCCTCCCAAGCTCTCCCTTCCTCTCCCCTGTCTTTCCTTTCTGACCCTCCCCTTCCTTACCTCGCCTCCCAAGCTCTCCCTTCCTCTCCCCTGTCCTTTCCTTTTTGACCCTCCCCTTCCTTACCTCGCCTCCCAAGCTCTCCCTTCCTCTCCCCTCTCCTGTCCTTTCTGACCCTCCGCTCTGTACCTCTCCCCTCCCAAGCTCTCCCTTCCTCTCCTCCCTCCTGTCCTTTCTGACCCTCCCCTTCTGTACCTCTCCCCTCCGAAGCTCTCCCTTCCTCTCCTCCCTCCTGTCCTTTCTGACCCTCCCCTTCCGTACCTCTCCCCTCCCAAGCTCTACCTTCCTCTCCTCCCTCCTGTCCTTTCTGACCCTCCCCTTCCATACCTCTCCCCTCCCAAGCTCTCCCTTCCTCTCCCCTCTCCTGTCCTTTCTGACCCTCCCCTTCCATACCTCTCCCCTCCCATGCTCTCCCTTCCTCTCCCCTCTCCTGTCCTTTCTGACCCTCCCCTTCTGTACCTCTCCCCTCCGAAGCTCTCCCTTCCTCTCCTCCCTCCTGTCCTTTCTGACCCTCCCTTTCCTTACCTCTCCCCTCCCAAGCTCTCCCTTCCTCTCCTCCCTCCTGTCCTTTCTGACCCTCCCCTTCCATACCTCTCCCCTCCCAAGCTCTCCCTTCCTCTCCCCTCCCCTGCCCTTTCTGACCCTCCCCTTCTGTACCTCTCCCCTCCCAAGCTCTACCTTCCTCTCCCCTCTCCTGTCCTTTCTGACCCTCCCCTTCTGTACCTCTCCCCTCCCAAGCTCTCCCTTCCTCTCCTCCCTCCTGTCCTTTCTGACCCTCCCCTTCCGTACCTCTCCCCTCCCAAGCTCTACCTTCCTCTCCTCCCTCCTGTCCTTTCTGACCCTCCCCTTCCATACCTCTCCCCTCCCAAGCTCTCCCTTCCTCTCCCCTCTCCTGTCCTTTCTGACCCTCCCCTTCCATACCTTCCCCTCCCAAGCTCTCCCTTCCTCTCCCCTCTCCTGTCCTGTCTGATCCTCCCCTTCTGTACCTCTCCCCTCCCAAGCTCTCCCTTCCTCTCCTCCCTCCTGTCCTTTCTGACGCTCCCCTTCCATACCTCTCCCCTCCCAAGCTCTACCTTCCTCTCCTCCCTCCTGTCCTTTCTGACCCTCCCCTTCCATACCTCTCCCCTCCCAAGCTCTCCCTTCCTCTCCTCCCTCCTGTCCTTTCTGACCCTCCCCTTCCATACCTCTCCCCTCCCAAGCTCTCCCTTCCTCTCCTCCCTCCTGTCCTGTCTTATCCTCCCCTTCTGTATCTCTCCCCTCCCATGCTCTCCCTTCCTCTCCCCTCTCCTTTCCTTTCTGACCCTCCCCTTCCATACCTCTCCCCTCCCAAGCTCTCCCTTCCTCTCCCCTCTCCTGTCCTTTCTGACCCTCCCCTTCCTTACCTCGCCTCCCATGCTCTCCCTTCTTCTCCCCTGTCCTTTCCTTTCTGACCCTCCCCTTCCTTACCTCGCCTCCCAAGCTCTCCCTTCCTCTCCTCCCTCCTGTCCTGTCTGACCCTCCCTTCTGTACCTCTGCCCTCCCAAGCTCTCCCTTCCTCTCCCCTCTCCTGTCCTTTCTGACGCTCCCCTTCCGTACCTCTCCCCTCCCAAGCTCTCCCTTCCTCTCCCCTCTCCTGTCCTTTCTGACCCTCCCCTTCCTACCTCGCCTCCCAAGCTCTCCCTTCCTCTCCCCTGTCTTTCCTTTCTGACCCTCCCCTTCCTTACCTCGCCTCCCAAGCTCTCCCTTCCTCTCCCCTGTCCTTTCCTTTTTGACCCTCCCCTTCCTTACCTCGCCTCCCAAGCTCTCCCTTCCTCTCCCCTCTCCTGTCCTTTCTGACCCTCCGCTCTGTACCTCTCCCCTCCCAAGCTCTCCCTTCCTCTCCTCCCTCCTGTCCTTTCTGACCCTCCCCTTCTGTACCTCTCCCCTCCGAAGCTCTCCCTTCCTCTCCTCCCTCCTGTCCTTTCTGACCCTCCCCTTCCGTACCTCTCCCCTCCCAAGCTCTACCTTCCTCTCCTCCCTCCTGTCCTTTCTGACCCTCCCCTTCCATACCTCTCCCCTCCCAAGCTCTCCCTTCCTCTCCCCTCTCCTGTCCTTTCTGACCCTCCCCTTCCATACCTCTCCCCTCCCATGCTCTCCCTTCCTCTCCCCTCTCCTGTCCTTTCTGACCCTCCCCTTCTGTACCTCTCCCCTCCGAAGCTCTCCCTTCCTCTCCTCCCTCCTGTCCTTTCTGACCCTCCCTTTCCTTACCTCTCCCCTCCCAAGCTCTCCCTTCCTCTCCTCCCTCCTGTCCTTTCTGACCCTCCCCTTCCATACCTCTCCCCTCCCAAGCTCTCCCTTCCTCTCCCCTCCCCTGCCCTTTCTGACCCTCCCCTTCTGTACCTCTCCCCTCCCAAGCTCTACCTTCCTCTCCCCTCTCCTGTCCTTTCTGACCCTCCCCTTCTGTACCTCTCCCCTCCCAAGCTCTCCCTTCCTCTCCTCCCTCCTGTCCTTTCTGACCCTCCCCTTCCGTACCTCTCCCCTCCCAAGCTCTACCTTCCTCTCCTCCCTCCTGTCCTTTCTGACCCTCCCCTTCCATACCTCTCCCCTCCCAAGCTCTCCCTTCCTCTCCCCTCTCCTGTCCTTTCTGACCCTCCCCTTCCATACCTCTCCCCTCCCAAGCTCTCCCTTCCTCTCCTCCCTCCTGTCCTTTCTGACCCTCCCCTTCTGTACCTCTCCCCTCCGAAGCTCTCCCTTCCTCTCCTCCCTCCTGTCCTTTCTGACCCTCCCCTTCTGTACCTCTCCCATCCCAAGTTCTCCCTTCCTCTCCGCCCTCCTGTCCTTTCTGGCCCTCCCCTCCGTACCTCTCCCCTCCCAAGCTCTCCCTTACTCTCCCCTCTCCTGTCCTTTCTGACCCTCCCCTTCTGTACCTCTCCCCTCCCAAGCTCTCCCTTCCTCTCCGCCCTCCTGTCCTTTCGGGCCCTCCCCTCCGTACCTCTCCCCTCCCAAGCTCTCCCTTCCTCTCCCCTCTCCTGCCGTTTCTGACCCTCCCCTCTGTACCTCTCCCCTCCCATGCTCTCCCTTCCTCTCCCCTCTCCTGCCCTTTCTGACCCTCCCCTCTGTACCTCTCCCCTCCCATGCTCTCCCTTCCTCTCCCCTCTCCTGTCCTTTCTGACCCTCCCCTTCCTTACCTCGCCTCCCAAGCTCTCCCTTCCTCTCCTCCCTCCTGTCCTGTCTTATCCTCCCCTTCTGTATCTCTCCCCTCCCATGCTCTCCCTTCCTCTCCCCTCTCCTTTCCTTTCTGACCCTCCCCTTCCATACCTCTCCCCTCCCAAGCTCTCCCTTCCTCTCCCCTCTCCTGTCCTTTCTGACCCTCCCCTTCCTTACCTCGCCTCCCATGCTCTCCCTTCTTCTCCCCTGTCCTTTCCTTTCTGACCCTCCCCTTCCTTACCTCGCCTCCCAAGCTCTCCCTTCCTCTCCTCCCTCCTGTCCTTTCTGACCCTCCCCTTCCATACCTCTCCCCTCCCAAGCTCTCCCTTCCTCTCCTCCCTCCTGTCCTTTCTGGCCCTTCCCTCCGTACCTCTCCCCTCCCAAGCTCTCCCTTCCTCTCCCCTCTCCTGTCCTGTCTTATCCTCCCCTTCTGTATCTCTCCCCTCCCAAGCTCTACCTTCCTCTCCTCCCTCCTGTCCTTTCTGACCCTCCCCTTCCATACCTCTCCCCTCCCCAGCTCTCCCTTCCTCTCCCCTCTCCTGTCCTTTCTGACCCTCCCCTTCTGTACCTCTCCCCTCCCAAGCTCTCCCTTCCTCTCCTCCCTCCTGTCCTTTCTGGCCCTCCCCTCCGTACCTCTCCCCTCCCAAGCTCTCCCTTCCTCTCCCCTCTCCTGCCGTTTCTGACCCTCCCCTCTGTACCTCTCCCCTCCCATGCTCTCCCTTCCTCTCCCCTCTCCTGCCCTTTCTGACCCTCCCCTCTGTACCTCTCCCCTCCCATGCTCTCCCTTCCTCTCCCCTCTCCTGTCCTTTCTGACCCTCCCCTTCCTTACCTCGCCTCCCAAGCTCTCCCTTCCTCTCCCCTGTCCTTTCTTTTCTGACCCTCCCCTTCTGTACCTCTCCCCTCCCAAGCTCTCCCTTCCTCTCTCCTCTCCTGTCCTTTCTGACCCTCCCCTTCCTTACCTCACCTCCCAAGCTCTCCCTTCCTCTCCTCCCTCCTGTCCTGTCTTATCCTCCCCTTCTGTATCTCTCCCCTCCCATGCTCTCCCTTCCTCTCCCCTCTCCTTTCCTTTCTGACCCTCCCCTTCCTACCTCGCCTCCCAAGCTCTCCCTTCCTCTCCCCTCTCCTTTCCTTTCTGACCCTCCCCTTCCTACCTCGCCTCCCAAGCTCTCCCTTCCTCTCCCCTCTCCTGTCCTTTCTGACCCTCCCCTTCCATACCTCTCCCCTCCCAAGCTCTCCCTTCCTCTCCTCCCTCCTGTCCTTTCTGACCCTCCCCTTCCGTACCTCTCCCCTCCCAAGCTCTACCTTCCTCTCCTCCCTCCTTTCCTTTCTGACCCTCCCCTTCCATACCTCTCCCCTCCCAAGCTCTCCCTTCCTCTCCTCCCTCCTGTCCTTTCTGGCCCTCCCCTCCGTACCTCTCCCCTCCCAAGCTCTCCCTTCCTCTCCCCTCTCCTGCCGTTTCTGACCCTCCCCTCTGTACCTCTCCCCTCCCATGCTCTCCCTTCCTCTCCCCTCTCCTGTCCTTTCTGACCCTCCCCTTCCTTACCTCCCCTCCCATGCTCTCCCTTCCTCTCCCCCGTCCTGCCCTTTGGGTCCTCCCCTTCCCAAGACCTCCCAACCACTCCATGTCTACACCCAGCCCACCCTGCCACCACTGCTACTCGCAGGCTCTGTTCCTTTCTCCTCAGACTGTGGCCATCGTTACATACAGGGGAAGGTTGTGGGGGGCATGGATGCCCTGGAGGGGAAGTGGCCATGGCAGGTCAGCGTGCACTACAGAGGCTTCCACATCTGTGGAGGGACCATCATCGACGAGTACTGGATCCTGTCGGCAGCCCACTGCTTCGATAGGTGAGTGGGCAGTGCCAGAAGCCATCTCCTTGGAGGTCCAGGGCTGCTGGACCGACCAGGTGGGCTGCATCCAGCTGAGACTTCTCAGGGACGGGAGAGGGTGGGGCCCAGCACACAGCTCCATCCACTGCAGCTTCTCCTTGCACAGGGCTGAGGGCTCCTTAGGGCCATTGGTTCTTTGAGATAGGTGTGGAGACACATCACAGGAGGAGAGGAGAGGAAAGACCTACCTTCAGAGGCGGCTCGCTGTACACAGACAAGTTCACCATCCTGGGCTGTGGCTGACCAGCAGGTCGTGATGAGTCCCCGAATCCTCCATTGGCCCAGGTCGGGACTTCTTTGGGAACAGTTCTGCCAGACAACCAGGTTCTCAGTGTGCTGGAAACTTGCTTTTCCATATCCTGGCTGAGAGCCTGGAGACTGAGGCCACCATGCTCCAGGCTTCCCAGGTGCAAGATGCTCAAGTCACCGTACCTTTGTTCTCTGTCCCCACAGGGACAAGAACATTGAGGCGTTTGATATATATGTGGGCCTGGTGGACCTCAGGTTTGTAGGCAGTCACACCCAGTGGTTTGAGGTGAACAAGGTGATCTTGCACCCTACATATGAAGTGTACCACCCTGTTGGAGGTGACATCGCCCTGGTGCAGCTGAAATCTCGCATTGTGTTTTCTGACTCTGTGCTCCCTGTCTGCATCGCACCCCCAGATGTGAACCTTCATAATGTTACTTGCTGGTCTACAGGATGGGGACTCATCTCCCCACAAGGTAAGATAACTAAAGGGCCAGTTCCTTTATTGGGGCTTGCAGAGGACGATGGCTCTGTGTCACTCCAGGAAAGAAAGAATTCTGTCAGTTTTGGGGGTGCAGGTATCCGGAGACTGGAATCCCCACTCGTCAGTCACTATGTGTGCGGTGCTGTTTTATCCCTGGCTGTCTTTGTTGCGCACAGAGAAGCAGTTACATCTACTCTGTGGGACTGATGTTTAGTATACTGAGAACACAAACTTCGAAACAGTCTTCTTTAAGATTCTAAATCCAACTGGGAAACCATCTTTTTAAGCATATTTTAAAAATCTATTAGTTATTCTGGTTTTCTCCATAATGACCTCATATTTTCTTGCTAGGTTTATTCCCAGTACCTTAGAATACTTACAGTTACTGAAAACATTCTTTTTTATTGTATTTGCTGATCAGTCACAGTTGATTTTTGCACATTGACCTTTCCAGCCACCTTATAGAATTCACTTTTAATAGCTTGTCAATTGATTACTTGATTTAAGAAATCATATTTCCTTCAAATAAAGACTATTTCATGACTTCTTTTCCCACATTTTATCCTTTACATATATTTTTTGGTCTTACTACAATGGTTGAACCTCCAATTAGAAACGGTACTAGGTCTCCTTTTCCTGTTTTTTATTTTAATGAAAATGCTTCTCATGATTTGCTGTATCTTATGGCCTGGCCTGGAGACTTTAGCTTGATACCTTATACCAGGTTAAGAAAGTTTAATGTTTGATTTACTTAATTAAAAAAATTCTATTGAGGGTAGGATGCTATAAATTCAAATTAGAAAGTTATAACTTTAGGATGTTCAAAGTAATCCCGTGGTAACAAAGAAAATAGCTGTAGGATATACAGAAAAGGAAATGAAGAAGGAATTTTAACATTTCACTACAAAAAAATCATTTAAACACCATAGAAGATAGAAATGCAGGAAATGAGGGACAAAAAGCTACAGAGCGTAAAGAAAACAAAGAACACCAGGCAGGATGGAAGTCTCTCCTTATCAGTGATTGCTTTAAATCTAAGTAGATTAAACTCTCCAATCGAAAGACAGATTGGGGGGCGCCTGGGTGGCTCAGTTGGTTAAGTGACTGCCTTCGGCTCAGGTCATGATCCTGGAGTCCCGGGATCGAGTCCCGCATCGGGCTCCCTGCTCAGCAGGGAGTCTGCTTCTCCCTCTGACCCTCCTCCCTCTCATGCTCTCTGTCTCTCATTCTCTCTGTCTCAAATACATAAATAAAAATCTTAAAAAAAAAAAAAAGAAAGATTGGAAGAATGGATAAAAATACAGGATCCAACTCTATGCTGTCTTTGAGACTCACTTGAGATCCAAAATCACAAACAAGTTGAAAATTAAAGGACAGAAAAAGATATCTATGCAAATAATGACCAAAGAGAGCAGAGTGGCTATACTAATAATATCAGGTAAAATAGACCCTAAAATAAAAAAGGCTACAAGAAACAAAAAAGGACATAACAGATTAATAAAAGGTTCAATACAGCAAGAAGATACAAAAATTATAAACACACACCTAATGACAAACCATCAAAATAGAGGAAGCCACACATGACAGAACTGAAGGGAGAAATAGGCAGCTCTACAGCAGTAGTTGAGCACTTCAGTATGCCTCTCTCAAGAATGGAGCGAACAGCCAGACAAAGGTAAGCACGGAAACTGAGGACTTGAACAGCACGGCACACCAGCCAGGTCTGACAGACACACACAGACAGCCGTCCTCAAGGGCGCCTGCGATGTTTTTTAAGATAGACCATATGTTAGTACCCAAAGGAAGTCTCAGTAGATTTTAAAAGGTAAATGGCACAGAAAGTAGCTTCTCTGACCACAACAGGATGAAACAGAAGTCAATAATGTAAAGAAATCAGAAAAATTCACAAAATTGTGGAAAGTAAACAACACACATTTAAATAACCAATGGATCAAAGAAAAAAAAATCACCAGGGAAGTTATAAAATATTTGGAGATAATAGGAAAGGAAAGGAAGGGAAGGGAAGGGAAAGGGAAAAGGAAAGGGAAGGAAAGGAAAGGAAAAAAAAGAAAGGAGACAACATACCAAAGCTTTTTTTTAAGGGATGTAGCAAAAGCAGTGCTACAGGGAAAGATTATAGCTGTAGCATTTATTCTTTTATAAATACCTACAGTTATAAAAGAAGAAAGAACTCAAATAAATAACTTCACTTTATGACGTAAGGAACTGTAAGAAGAACAAACTAAGCCCAAAACTAGGAGAAGGAACAGAATAATAAAAATTAGAGCACAGAAAATGAAATACAGAATAGAAAAAAAAATAGTCAATGAGTCAAACGTTAGTTTGGTTTTTGAAAAGATCAACAAAAGTAACAAACCTTTAGCTAGACTGACTACAGAAATGAAACTGAGAACATCACTACTATCATCACAGAAATAAAAGGATCACAAGAGATCACTAAAATAACTCTATGCCAACAAATTCGATAACCCACATGAAATGGAAAAATTCCTAGAAACACTCAAATTACCAAAACTGACTCCAGAAAGAGTTGAAATGCTGAATGAGTGAGTGAATCAGTATTTAAAAATGTTTCAACAATGAAAGTCCAGGACAAGGTGGCTTCCCTAATGAATACTACCAAACATTTAAAGAAAAGTTAACATCAATTCTCTAAAACTCTCTGAAAAAGAGGAGAGGAGGGAACACTTGCCCTCATTCTAAGGAGCCAACATGACACTGTAGCCAGACAAGAAAGCACAAGAAAAGAAAAGTACAGACACTGTCCCTCGTGAACATAGATGTAAAAATCCTCAACACAACACTAGCAAACTGAATCCAACAGCACATTAAAAGGATCATACACGCCAACAAAGGGGTATTTGTCCCAGGAATACAAAGGCTGTTCAAAATACAAAAATTGACCAGTGTAACACATCACATTCAAGGAATGAAGGGGGGAACCCACATGCTCATCTCAAGTGATGTAGAGAAAGCATGTGAGAGGATCTACTGTCCTTTCATAATGAGAAAGTACCACTCAGAGAACTAGGAATAGGTACTTCCTCGGCACAACTAAGGGCATTTTTGAAGAACCCACAGCTAATCTCGTACTCAGTGGAGGAAGATGAACAGTTTACCCTAAAACCAGGAACACGATCGGAAGCCCACTCTCCCCACCGGTATTCTGTGTTGTGCCAGAAGCTCTGACATTAAATTAGGCAAGAAAAAGAAAAGTCACCCCAGTTGGAAATGAAATAAAAACGGTCTCTCTTCACAGATGACATAATCAGACATATGGAAAATTCCAAGGAATCCTAAAAACAAATACACAAAACCAACTACTACAGACAATTTCCGCAAAGTTTCAGGGTACGAGATCAACGCACACAAAAAATCAGCTGGGTTTCTGTCACAAAAAGACATTAAGGAAGCAAGCGTACATCACCTAGAAGAAAAGCCACCTGTGAGAAAATTAATCCAAGGAGGTGAAACACTACAAGACATTGCCAAGAGAGATTTTGAAAGACCTAAATAAATATACAGAGAGCCCGTGTTTGTGGGCTGGGAGACTCGATACTGCTAAGAGGGCAACACAAGCCAAAGTGACCTGCACGTCCAGGGCAATCTGATGGAACCACCAGAGTTCCAGTGGCTTTTCTGCAGACATGGAAAAGCTGACCCTTGAGTCCACATGGAACTGGAAGGCGCCCAGAATAGCCAAAACAGTCTCAGGAAAGACGACCAAAGCTGGACAGACTCATGCTTCCCACTTTCAAAACATACCGCGAAGTGACGGTAATCCAAACGATGTGCTTCTAGCACTAAGACATGTGTGAGCACGGGTAGGCATGCACATGCATGCATGTGAGTGCACAAGTATGTGCACGCACATGCGTGTGCGTGTGTGCACGTATGTGTAGGCACGTGGGTGGTGTGTGTGTGCACACGCGTGTCGGTGAGTTCAGGTGTGAGTGGGTGCATGCGTGCCTGTGAGTGTGGAATGCCAGACATTACAAGAGAACACTCAGGACTGAAGTCTCTGCACCCCAAACAGACCTGGGGCGGGACGAGCCAGCCCAGCGAGAACTTGAGCTGGGTTGTCAGCACAGTAGAGGCTCAGGTCCCTCCATGGTGCCTGGGAGGGCTGTGTTCCTGCTCCAGCTGCCCCCGCAGCATCTCCGCACACCCACGGCGCGTTCCTGCCCGCCCTGACGCTCACTGTTAGGCTGGCGTTGGGGGGCAGGAGCCCTGACTTCCCGTGTTCCAGCCTTGGTCTCAGGCCGTGCCGGAGGCCGCTCGGAAACGGGCCGCTGTGCTCTGTGCTGCTGTATCTGGGGGCAGCCACGCTCCCCTCTGTGTCCGGGGCCGGAGCACCGGGGCCCCTCCCAACTGGCGGAAGGCTCGTGCTCTGTGGGAGAAAGGAAGCAGCTCGGGTGTCTGACCACCCACTGGACACCTGCATCAAGGGGCTCTCTCTCCGACCCCTGCCTGCCTCCACTGCCATCTCGAGGGCTCGCAGGGGAGACTCGGGGGACAGGCAGACCTCCCTTCCGGTTTCCCAGTCCTCTCCTAGGGAAGTCATTGAAATCATGGCTGACCTCTTCCCACCCGCTTCTCTGTTCCACCTCATCCTCTGTGCTCTGATGCAGGCTCGTCACTCTGGTCCTCCGTCTGCTGGGCTCCGTGGGGCCCTGTCGGGGGAGCGTGGCACCTCTTGTCCTCTGTCTCCACCATTGTCCTGGGTGGTCGGCAGGACGGTCCACTCTGGACTGGCTAGAACTCGGCCTCCCAGGCCCCTGTGAGCTCTGGGGGCTGCGGAGTCCATGCTGCCACCCTCTGCCCGCCCCACACTCCCTGCACCCTCTGCATGGATGGCTCAGGGCCCAGCAGCAGGCTGAGGGCGCCAGGGCCCTCTGGGCCACCTGCTCTCTGGAATGGCCTTCTTCTGGTGTCCGCCTTGGGGGTCCAGCTGCCTGTGGGCCTCCTCATGTCGCAGCCTGGGGAGCGCCCCTGCAGGGCCTCGCCTCATGTGTTGTGTGTTCCTGCCTGGTGCCCAGTGGGAAAACAGTCCCCCCACCCCGCCGCATCCGGGTCAGCACTTACTTCTGGCAGGAGGGACGTGCACTCCCCGTTACCCTGGTTGGTCACGGCAGAGGCCCTGGGCAGGGCCACGGGATTTCCAGATGCTCTTTACTGGGCAGCCTCTTCCAGCCCTGCAGACCCGGGGTTGGTGGGCTCTCTACTGCACTGCATTTCCACCTGCGCCGTCTGCCTCTTGACGCTGCCCTGCCCCCACGGCCAGCGGCAGCACAAGCACGGCTAACGTCTGCTTTCTGCCGTCCTCCATCCATTAGCTCAAAACTGACTCCCCGGGCCTCCTTGCCTTTCCCCAGACAAGCACCCCACACCCCTTGGATGCCTGTGCAAACAGCCCCCCTCCAGCTGAAGCAAGGCCAGAGCCGCGGGACCCACGTGCACACTGGCCGGGAGACCACAGGTTTCGGGGACCAACTACTGTGCCCGTCAGGGTAGACCAGGCCACGCGGCGTGACACGCAGAACCCAGAGGCTCGCTCTCGCCTGCACCGTCAGCCCCTCATTCAGCGGGCTGGGAGAGCCTGGGCGGCTCATGCAACCACAACCCGTGCCCAGAGCCCCACGGACAGAGGCGACTGTGCTCTGGACCTGCTGCAGTGGGAGGGGCTGGCTCTTCCAGCCCCTTTGGAAAGAGTCCTATGACATTTAAGGGGACACTCGCTGACCCAAGTCAGATGCCCCCGTGCAGAGAGGGAGCCATGTGGAGGGCAGGAGCAAGAGAAGGGGCCGCAGGGTGAGCCTGCGGGCCTCTCACAGGCCTGCACTCCTTTCCGACAGGCCGCGTCCCAGAGAAGCTGCAGGAGGTACGCGTGCCTCTGATCTCATTGCCCCTGTGCCAGCTGCTCTACGGACACCTGTCACACGTTATGTCGGACATGCTGTGCGCCGGGGACATCTGGAACGTGAGGACCGTGTGCGAGGTGCGTTCCAAGAGGGGCTTCCCGATGTTTGTCTGCACTGAGCCAGGGGGCACTTCTGGGTGGGCGGTACTCCTGGGTGGCCTAGCCCCTGCAGGCCTCGGAAGCACATCCCCATGTGGCCTTCAGCTGGGGGGGGAGGGCCTGGGGTGGCTTATGCAGCCACAGTCCGTGCCCAGAGCGCCACGGACCCCAGTGCTGCTGGAACAGCCCAGGGCTCCACGTCTGCCCGGGAGGCCTTGCCTGCTGCCCACCACCCCGCGCCACCCACCCTGAGCAGGCAGGACAGTGCCATGAGCACAGCCCACCTGCAGCAGAGCCTCGGCACGGGCGAGATGGGGCCCCCCTTGTGCAGGAGGCTGCAGGCCCTGAACTCCCCCCTCACGGGAAACCCTCTTCTCTTCCAGGGTGACTCTGGGGGTCCGCTCGTCTGTGACTTCAACCACACCTGGTTGCAGGTTGGAGTAGTGAGCTGGGGCCGTGGTTGCACATACCCTATGTATCCTGCAGTTTACGCCCGGGTCTCCTATTTCTCAAAGTGGATCCATTACTACCGAGAGCACACACCCCTGCCTTTTCAGCCGCTCCCCGCCCTCTCCCTCATGGTGGGGGCCACCGTCAGCGTCCCTGTGACCATGCTGGCTGTCCTGTCAATGTTGTGAGGGCTTCCTCACACTGGATCTTCTTACTGAAAATTGGACAGCCACATGCAGAAGAATGAAACTCTGTCCCCATCCAGCTCAGCCCCTCAGGTCTCCTCACACCTGAGCAAGGTGAGGGCCACCAGCCAGGCCCAGATGTGGGGCCAGGTCTCACCACAGAAGTGCAGAGCACCTCGGCTCAGTGCTCTGGGTGAGATTTGGTAAGATATTAAATGTTTACCAAGTGAGCGTCCCAGAAGTCCCGTGTCATCTGTCCACCCAGAGCACAGGCTCCCGCACGAAGACAGAGCGTGTCCATCAGCGGGTGTTCAGTGGCCTTGTTGGGGTGACAGGCGGCTGGGTGAGAAGCACAGACCCAGCCACCTAGAAAGGACAGCCACACAAGCATTGCTGTCCAGGTGCAACCAAAGCCAGACAGAGGGAGGGTCATTGATTTACATGCTCAGACCCGTCAAGAGCAAAGAGTTCCTAAATACCTAAAATTCCAATATGAAAATTGGAAGATGTGAGCTAAGAGTAGGCACACCGAAGGAACAAAAAAGATGAAAGCAGAAATCAGTGGGCCAAACACCAGGGAAATACTGACATTCTGAAAGTCTGGTTTTTGAGAAAAAATCGAAAACTAAGAAATCACTAACCTAATCAAGATATAAGATGAGACCGAAAACACACAAAACAAGAAATGGCAAGGAGAAAATATCTATTTAACACAGACAACTTCAGAAATCATAATCCTATGTAAATAAATGTAAAATGAGAAGTTTCAATTTTTAGGAAAACAGTAACTTACCAAAGCTAACCCCCATAGAGATGGAAGGTGTACATTGGCCAGAGTCCAGAGGAGAAATGGAGACATTTCAGAAAGAACCTTCCCTCCCAGTAGAAGCCCTTGGTTCAGATGGTTTCCCTAGGAACCCATCAAACCTTCCACTGCAGGGCCGTCCCTGAGCTTCCCACGCAGCCCCGACGCGGCCCAGGGAGGGCCTTCCAGACTCACACTAACATCGTGTGCGTGAACATATCTGACCACACACAAGCAGCTTACAGTTCAGAAACCCCGGTGAAGGACTAGCAGACAGAATCCAACTTTGTTTTAAGATAGCACGCCATAAGCAAGTAGGCGCTATTCTGGTAACGCGAGGAAACTCATAGATATAATTCACATAGTAATTAGTTCACTAAGGAGAGTAATATTAATGAAGAGACTTTTAACAAATTCAAAACCCATTTTCAAAAAAAAAAGAGAAAAGATAGCGATCACCTGATAATAAGATACACTCCTGCCTCGGCCTAAAAGCCACCCTTTCCTTGTGGGGAGATACAGTACATCCCTGCTAAGGCTGGGTTGCCAGACATCGCTCCTGTGTCTTACCTGTTGGAAGAGTAGCCACCACAGCTGCCCAAGAGAAACATCCAGGAAAGCAGGGCAGAGTCACTGAAGCTATCTCAGAAAACAAGACAAGAGCAAGAAACTCCCAGAAGCAGTAAGAACATCCAGCAAAGCCACTCGACAAAACATGACAAAAAAACATACTCCTGCTAGAAGATCTATAACAGAAGAGAAGACGCCTACTACATTAACAGCAAAAGAGAGAAGATGCCTATGGCCTTAACAAGATATGTGAAAATCCATATGAAGAAGCCCTTAAAATGCTCCTGGGGGGAAAGAAGAAAAAGTAGATTTGAACGAATGTTAACATAGTCTATTTCTCGGGCAGATCAACCCAAGTGTGTGCACGTGTGCATGAATTCAGCATGGCCAAATAGAGTTTGTCATGGACGCAGTACACTCCCAGACCAAGGAGACCCCGAATCGCCAAGGGAATGATGAAAAAGAAAAACAAAGTTGGGGGCATCATGTTTCCTGACTTCAAGCTCTATTACAAAGCTGTGATCACCAAGACAGCATGGTACTGGCACAAAAACAGACACATAGATCAATGGAACAGAATAGAGAACCCAGAAATGGACCCTCAACTCTATGGTCAAATAATCTTCGACAAAGCAGGAAAAAAATATGCAATGGAAAAAAGACAGTCTCTTCAATAAATGGTGCTGAGAAAATTGGACAGCCACATGCAGAAGAATGAAACTCGACCATTCTCTAACACCATTCACAAAGATAAATGCAAAATGGATGAAAGGCCTCAATGTAAGACAGGAATCCAGGGAAATTCAAATCAAAACCACATTGAGATACCACCTTACACCAGTTAGAATGGCAAAAATTGACAAGACAAGAAACAACAAATGTTGGAGAGGTTGTAGAGAAAGGGGAACCCTCTTACACTGTTGGTGGGAATGCAAGCTGGTGCAGCCACTCTGAAAAACAGTATGGAGGTTCTTCAAGACGTTACAAACAGAACTACCCTACCACCCAGCAATTGCACTACTTGGTATTTACCCCAAAGATACAGATGTAGTGAAAAGAAGGGCCATATGCACCCCAACATTCATAGCATCAATGTCCGCAATAGCCAAACTGTGGAAAGAGCCGAGATGCCCTTCAACAGATGAATGGATAAAGAAGATGTGGTCCATATACACAATGGAATATTACTCAGCCATCAGAAAGGATGAATACCCAACTTTTACATCAACATGGATGGGACTGGAGGAGATTATGCTAAGTGAAATAAGTCGAGCAGAGAAAGTCAATTATCATGTGGTTTCACTCATATGTGGAACATAAAGAATAGCATGGAGGACCACAGGGGAAGGGAGGGAAAACTGAATGGGAAGAAATCAGAGAGGGAGACGAACCATGAGAGACTCTGGACCCCAGGAAACAAACTGAGGGTTTCAGAAGGGGAGGGGGGTGGGGGGATGGGGTACCTGGGTGATGGACATTAAGGAGGGCACGTGCTGTGATGAGCACCAGATGTTATATGCAACTAATGAATCGTGGATCACTACATCAAAAACTAATGATATACTATACAGTGGCTAACTGAACATAATAAAAAAAAAAAAGAAAAATTAAAAGACCTAAATAAATGGAAAGACATCCCGGATTCATGGATCAGAAGGCTTAATATTATTAAGTAGGCAATATTCTCTAAAGATTTAATGCAATGCTTATCAAAATCCCAATGGCCTTTTTGGAGAAGTGGGCATGCCGGAATATGAGACCAGAAACCAGCAATGGCCACATTCTACAGGAGGACCTAAGAAACACTGCACGTGTCAGGGGCATACAGTATGCCCCAGAGAGCTTCTCTCTATGGGCAGAGGTAAATGTGGGAGATGCTGCTCCCAAACTGGGCTCCATGGTCACTGTGGGGAAGCTGGGCCCTGGAACAGTGGGGTTAGGGCAACTCACGACTATCAGGAGCAGGTGGGCATAATGACAATAAAGGGTAGTGGGGCCAGAATGGTGGCCACGGGGATCTAACCCTTGGGGGCCATAGGGATGAACCCAGTGAGAACTTGTTGTTTCTGGGAAAGGACAGAGAAACAGCTAATACACAAAATCAGAATGAGCAAAAGGAAGAGAGGCAGACATCCCTGTGCGAAGTGTAGTCTGTACCCCTGCTTTCGTGTGTGAGCCAGTTTTCAGACCCAGAACCTGGGCACCTCCTGGCAAGAGTGTGCATACAGTGGTAATGATCTATACCCTTTACACAGTAATCATGTCTCAGGGAGAAGCGGTCCCCAGGTCTTTCAAAGACTGTTGAACACAGGGTCCAAGTCCACTCTGACAGCTGGGGACTCAAAGCGCCACACGGCCCTCCTGATGGACAAGGCATGTATGAGGTCTAAGAACAGGTGAGGTACTGGTCCAGGCCTGTCCCAGTGTCTCCACCCACAGTCGTTCTCCAAGTTCCACAAAGCCAGGAACACTGGGTGCCTTGAAAAGACACTTGCATTCTGCAAGGTGGACAGTAAGAGATTCAGAGACCTGCCCCGTCAGTGTGGGATTTAAGGCTCTGTGGCCTGGGACTTCCTTTCAAAGCAAGGGCAAGGCACTGCCCCTCCACCTCCTCCCACCAGGGAGGAGACAGAGGTCCCCTCTGGCTTTTGGGGGCAGCATGTTCCTCACCAGCAGTACTGAATCACGTGGGGTCCCAGGCAAGAAAGGGTTTTGTATGTGGTCCTGGCCAACCAGACAGGGTGTCTCAGCAGATCCCATGGCACCAGATACCTGTGGGGAGCAGACGGGCACTGTGCAAAGCATCTGACCAGTCCTGGTGGAAGTTTGCTGGGCAGCCCCTCCTTGTGCACCATGTATGCAGTCCCTGGCATGCACCAGGCCCTGCCAGGGCATCTGGGCATGGAATTCGAGGGGCCATGTGACCAGAGATGCCCAAAATGGGCTGAGCCCACATGTCAAAGTTAGGTGGCCCCACTGCTCACCACAGTGGTTCATTGGGACTGGGTCCATGCAAGTCCAGAGGGGACAATAGGCTGCATAAACAGGTGCCATCCCATGCTATTATTGTACGGACACATTTCCTCAGTCCCCTGCCCCCACCTCCTGGGGGCCCTATGACCAGCTGATAGAAGAATACAAAGCCAGATGGTTGGCTCAGAGAGCAGACTGCTACGTCAGCCAGGGGTGGCCCTGAAAAGAGTGGTAAGGGGCCTCCCAATGGGTGGAGCACCTGACAGGGCACCTGGGGCCCAGGATAAGGGTATGAAAGGAGCAGAAGAACAATCTGGCTAAATATAAGCAGCAAATGGTAAGGCTAATTGGGCAGGGAGCTGGAGGGAGCAAACTGGGAGAGCAGGGAGGAGGAGGTCCAGGGAAGAGGCATGTGAAGCCCGCCTGAGAGCACCCACTGCAGAAGAGACCACCGCCACCAGGTGCTGTGCAGGGAGCTCTGGAGCTGCCATGATGGCAGACAGGGAGGGGGGCCTGCCTCACCCATGAGCGTCCACTGCCGTCCAGAGAGGCCAAGGCTGAGGTCCTGTGTGGCACAACCCCCCAAAGAGACCCAACAACTGCCTGCCTTGGACAAGGCTTCCGTCCAACCAAGGCTGACCTGAGTCCCCAGGAT